CAGAGATGGGACGATTGTTTTGAGCCCATGAGCTCAAGACTATCTTGGGCAACATCTTGAAAACAACCAAAAACCTGTTCTACTTTGAAATTCTGAGCACCTCTTTCTTTCTGTGGATCTACCTAGGCATACTGCTCCTAAATTTTCTTAGGGGAGAGGTGGGGCTGAAAAGTTTCATTGCAGCCTTAAACTTAGGCCATGTGATTCAATTTGGTTTTTTGGCAGAAACTCTGTTTCAGAGGTTATTGGGTGTGCTAGCTCAGCTATGATTAAAATGATCTTTTTGTGCCTCTCCCAATTTCTTGTTTATAGTTCCCTTGGGAATCCTAAGACTTGGCAAGATGATTAACAGAGCAAAATTGGCAATTTCTGGTTTTTGGTTAAGGAAATTGTACTCTTGGTCATACTTTCTCACAAATATTTGCTATCCCTCTCAGGGAAGGATTATACTTCTTCACTTCATTAACAGTGGCCTTGGCCAGATATACTTATTCTAGTGAAGAAATATAAGCAGGGCTGGAAGATTTAGCTTAGTGACATAAAAGCACCTGACTGGCAAGAGTAAGGTCATGAGTTTGATCCCCAGTACCAGAAAAAAAAATATGAGCATATTAATATGCATCAGTTCCAGGTCCAGTATGTGGTTTACCAGGATCACTTTTATCTTCCAAAAGAGGTAAACATTGTTCTGAATACAGATTACTTGTCAGCCTGGAGCCTGGCATAAAGACAACCTAAGGATAGCTAGGTTGTCCTGCCACTGACATATATGCTATTTTGAGAGAGAAAATGTTCCGATTGTAAGGCACCTTGGGAATCTCTTGTTACCATAGCTGAATCTAGCTTATCTCGACTGATATATTTACCTGTATCAAATGCCATTGCTTATCGTACCAGTGTTTAGTCTGTCTTGATTCTTTCCAGTGTTACACTGGTATTCACCTACCTCTTCATGCTTAGGGAGGAAAGTCCAATTTCTGCCCACACAGGTGAATTTTTCTTTTTTCTTTTCTTTTTTTTTTTTTTTTGTTGGTACCAGGGATCAAACTTACAACCTCATGCTTACCAGGTAGGCGCTTACACCACTGAGCTAAATCCCCAGCCCCATACACAGGTGAATTTTAATAAAGTTAAGCCACTCATGATAGTTTCTTACTCTTGCTAGTATGAAGCTGAAGTTCTCTGAAGAAGCCAAGTCTGCATGAAGAGTCTGCAGACTGATCTCAGCAGAGCAGAATACTGTGATTGTGGAGAAACAGAATATTATACATTGAGGACCGAAATTATCTTGGGCTACCTTAAGCGTTTTAGAAAAATAGCCATTTGCTTTGAACCTTTGTGTCTGACCTAAAATTCTTGTGATTATTAGGTGAATCTGTAGGGATACATTACCAAGCTTAGTAGACATTTAGTTTTCATTAAACTTATAGCTAAGAATACTATAAAATAACAACTGAAACCTAGTAAAATAATTTCTCTGTTTTGCTGTAGCCCGCCCCCACCAATACTTTTGTTAAACACATTGATTTATAGACTTCTTTGTAACTATAAAAGTTCATGTAGCTGCTTCCATATAGAGTAGCTAACTTGGACCATGGACTACTCATATTTAGCTCAGAATAAATGAATTTCCTATTTGCTTCAAAGCAGAGTTGTTATATCATGCCGGCACTAGTGACAGTGTGCAAGACTGTGGAAAGTCCACTTCAGGGCTCTGAAAAAGGTTTTGCTTGCTGATAGAAACAGACACATGGGAATGCTGGATGTGGTGCCCATACCTGTAATCCCAGCCCTCAGGAGGCTGAGGCAAGAGGACTGATGTGAGTTTGAGGCCAGCCTGGGCTATATAAGTGAGTTCAAGGCCAGCCTGCACAAAAAATCAATGAGAGAGAGAGAGAGAGAGAGAGAGAGAGAGAGAGAGAGAGAGAGAGAAGGAGGGAGGGAGAGAGAGAAAGATAGGGGGAGAGGAAGGAAGGGAAAAAGGAAGGGAAGAGAGACACATGGGAAGAAGAAAGAGTCTACTTCTATTGGAATTTGTGCGTGCATGTCAGCTGGCATTCTGGCAGCCATTTTGTAGCATGAAGGTACTAGCCTCAAAGTGTTAGAATGAAAAGATAGCAAAATTTGTTTTTGTTTGTGGTACTGGGAATTGAACGAAGGTCCTAAGCAAGTGCTCTACCACTGACCTACATCCTCAACACTATTTATTTGTTTATTTATTTTCAGACAAGATCTTATCAAGTTGCTCAGGTTGGCCTCAAATTGTGATTCTCCTGCCTCAACCTTCCAAGTGGCTACTACAGGCAGGCACTACTTTACCTTTACTACTTTACAGCTGGCCATCCACTGTCTGCTCATGAAGAAAAATCTAGGCTCTTGATAATGCTATTGATGCCTTAAATGAACCAACTCTAGAGCTAATCAGTCCCCAGTTTTGTTATGTGGAATAATGTATTTTCCTAATTGTTTAAAACAGTTGAATCTGGAACGAAAGGAGAAATAATGAGTTTAGCTTCAGGGACACTGAGGTGATGGCAGAATAGCATCCCTTCCTATTGCTCAGGAGACATCAGTGTTGAATTTGAATTTGGGCATCATCTGTAATTGGTCTGCTCTGCTCTGTTGTTAGTATAACAAAATTCCTGAGGTAATCAACTTGTAAGTAGGGAAGTTTATTTGGCTGTTTGGAAGGCTTCGGTCCATGGTTAGTTGGCCTGTTGCTTGTGTACCTCAGTGTGGAAGCGGGTGACAGAGGGAGCAAAGGAAAAGAGGATGAAGCTGGGTTCCTAAAAGCCCCACAGCTGGTCATCCTCTGTCTGCCCGCTAAGTTCCACATCTCAAAGGTTCCCCCACCTCTCAATAGGGCCACAGAGTAACAACCTCACCCTTAACCCATGGCCCCTTGCTGGACACTTCTAGCATAATTTATCTTAGAAAATAATCCTATACCTGGGGAAAATACCTCTACCTTTGAGGAATTTTGATGATCCAAGAAAATATTACTCACATACAAGAGTGGTCATTTCCTAGGTGGACAGAAGTCTCAGGTCCTCACCTATGGACAAATCCTAGAAAAGGGGATCAGAGAGGTGACAGCACTTACCTAGTGGGAGGAGCAAAGAGAGTTAAGAAGGCAGTGGCTACTTCTGCATCCAGACACTGCTCAAACCCAGGTCTTGAAGAAGTTGGCAGGTGTTTGCATGTGACCTATATGACTTAAACATTCAAAAGTTCAGTGGGGATGGCTTTGAAAATGGGATTATAAGCAATTTCTAAATCTGCTGACACACATCCATCCTTTAGCAAATTGTCAGTCCAGTAAACTGTGGTTCTCATCACCTTACGTTAGATGGAGTGTGCTTGCTTCTGCTGCACGTAAACAAGAGATGAACAGAAGGTGTATAAAAACTGAAGTTCTCTGAAGAAGTCATACCTCTCCTAAGGACCCTGCACTCTTGTTTAACCTCAGCTGAGAAATTTTCTTGGGTCATCTTGATCCTTTTAATAGCTATTTATTTGCAACCTCTGTATCTGGTAAAATTTTCAGAATATATTGCTAAGCATAGGACCTGTAGCTTCCATCAACCCTAAAGTTAAGAACACTATAAGGTAGCATCTGAATGTTAAAGACTTTCCTGCTTTGCTGTGGCCTGCCTACCTAATGCCCTAGCAAAGTACTTATTGAATATATTGATTTATGACTTCTCCGTTCTGTGGCTATAAAAGTTCATGTCACCTCTTTCACAGTGAAACGTGTCATTTGAGGCAATCTGAATCCATGTACTGGGACCACAGTCACTCCTATTTGCTCCAGAATAAACGATTTTCTTATCTTCCTTAAAGCAGAGTCATCATTTTATGTTGATTCTTGGACCCTATGTGTCCTTCCTTTCAAACAGATATGGGACAGGACCTCTTCTGGACCCAGGGTCAGAAGAACTGTTATCAAAAGGTAGGTCAGAGAATTTCTTCAGGGTACCCTCCCTCTTCTACATAGCAAGGAGGAAGAAGTCTAGAGTAGTATTTCTAGGCTTTAAAACTGGCTTTAGGAGAGTTCTGGTTTCTACAACCCGACTTGGGGAAGATGTATTCTGGTTTCTATGGCATATATAGGGCATCAACAAGGGACAGAATAAAGATTGGTGGTAGAATGTCTGAAAGAGACTCTGCTTCTGCCGCTGCTTTCGAAGCACTGAGAATATCAACACACGCCATGCTGGAGTACTTTTTCTGAGCTATAACAATAGCCTATGTTGATTCTGTGGAAGTCTTGTAGGAAACATCAGAGTAAACAAAATAGATCTCATGGAACACAAAGGAAAAAATGTCAAAATCCAAGTGGATTTGTGGTTAAAATCCTGAAAATTACTAACCTGTAAGCACTAGATTGCTGTTACTTTGAGAAAATACATGCAGAATTGGAAGGAGGTGTGTTTTGCAAGACAAAGCCTGCTCCAAAAAAATTACTTTTTGAAATGTCATTTATGGAGAACTTCTCCAAAGGTACATCTTTAATGGGCAAATACATACACCTACATGTTTATCATGGAGTTCATACGTTCCCTGAAACATCTCCTTTCCAGTTCTCATTGCAGGGCCTACCTTGAAATTATCAAATTACTCATGCTTCCCTATGCAAAGAAAAAAGAGACATATTTTGATGAGTTGGAAGAACAAATACAATCTTTAAAGTGGCCAACTTCAGTCCTACAATTATTTAGAAAGGAAAAGCTGGCTTTAAAAACTGTTGTTTGCAGGCAGGATTTGCAACTGGCTAGGACCAAGGATGATGCTCCAAGATGACTCAGTTGTATGGCCTGGAGAAATGAGGGGAGTGAGGGAAGAGCCAAGACAGTGGTCCTGCTCACCAAAAGGGGTCTTAAACCTGGTTTTACAACACGGAGGTCGTGAAGGCCCAGAGCCGGTGCCAACCAGGAGAGGGTGTCCAGTGCATCTTTTGAACTGGAAGCTGCTAAAAATCAATTTCCCTTACCTCCTACCCGAGCCTTTGGGCCACAATTCAGAATTTTTTCTAAAGGTCCACTGGAGACCGAGGCGAGTGACCTTCGCCAGGCCTCGGAATCTCCTCTGGGAAGTCCCCGCGGCCTTCTCTCGGGCTCCGAAAGCAGCTACCAGCGCCCCCAGCCCGAGCGCTCGGGACGCCTTTGGGGCACCCCTGCCGCCTCCCCAGCGGGACCCTGACACCCTCGTCGTCATCCCGGGCCGCCGCCGAAGCCCCTCTCGCTTCCTCGCGCCAGTCGGGGGGTCCAGCCCGGGCCAGCGACGCGGCCCGCGGGCTCACCCCGGCCAGCGAGGGGTCCTCCCGGCCCCGCCGCTCGCCGCTCGCCGCTGCAGGCCCTGCCCCCACCCTCCACGGGCGCCGCCCGCCGGGCGCCTCTGCAGCCGGTCGCGCTGCCGGCCCGCGCCCACCGCCGCTGCTGATTGGCTGGGCGGGCGGCGGCGGCGCGGAGCGGCCCGGCCGCGCGCTGGGTCAGGGCTGCAGAGGCGCCTGGCGCACTGGCAGTAGCGGAGCAGCGGCGCACACGCCCCGACACCGGCCCTGCGGAGAGAGCGGCCCGGGGCGCCGAGGGTCCGCGCCGCGCGGGGCGCCGCCGCCGTGGCCGCCATGTGCTCCCAGGTCTGGCTCCTAACGGACCGGCGTCTCAGCGAGGATTACCCGCAGGTGCAGATTCTGCGCGCCCTCCGGCAGCGCTGCTCCGAGCAGGACGTGCGCTTCCGGGCGGTGTTCATGGACCAGCTCGCCGTCACCGTCGTCGGCGGCCACCTCGGTGAGCGAGGCGGGCCCCGGGAGGGCGGGGAGGCGCGCCGGGCTCCCCCAGGGCCTCCCCTATCCGAGGCTTCTTCGGGCCCCGCGAGCCAGCCGGCCAGCCGCTCTTCACCTGGGGTTGGAGAAAGCCCCTCACCTTGATAGCCTCTGTTAATCTCCACCGTCTGCCCTGAGGCCAGGGTTTGAGGACGTGATTTATTAATTTACTTAGGGGACTTTGTGTTGTAAGAGACCCCGTACTCCTGAAGCCTCCGGGTGTCCAAGGAAAATGAAGCTGCAGACACCAGATTTACAAATTCTACTTGCATGGATACCTCGTCAGTTTAGACTGAAATTTAAGAAACCCACACTAAATGTACAAAATTGCTATTATGTTGGCTGTTTTGAAAACTTTTCCAGCAGCGTGTATGCATCGGTTTTCTACAGTGAATATGATTCCCAAACTCGGAAGCTACATATGGGGGAAATGTGAAAAGATGGGAGCTACCTTTGGAGTGCAAAGTGCGAGAGACCTTTGATAGGTTTTCTTTAACTCCTCTTTCTTAAAAGTGTTGAATTCTCATTCCAGAAAAGCCAAGGTTTCAGGTACATATTGTTCTGACCTTACTGATCACTCCACTGCTGTATCCAAGAGGTTTTTCAGGGGTAAGACATGGTTATCATCTGTGACCCTGACCTCAAAAGGTGAAGTATGTTTTCAGATATTCTGTGTTATCCTTAGTGCTTAAGCCTTCTCAGATTTAGGAATCTGTGGTTTAGGAACCTCCCACTCAATGGCTTGCTAGTTATCTCCAGTGCTTTGCTAGAAGCTTCATAGGGTCCAGGACTCAAGGGGAGTCCCAGTTGGTCCCAGTTGGGATATTGTCCCCATTATCTCAGCCACAGGCCAGTGGCCTGTTTAAATAGGTACATACAGTACTTTTCTTTGACAAGGAAAAGGATTCCAAATGCTGCACAGGCTACTTCCAAGGGAGCTTATGAATATGACTTATCTTTAACTGGAATATATGTGTTGTAGATTTTTTATCTATACGTTTATCTGAACCATATGTGATGTCAGATTGTGTATCCTGTTGGAGAAATATACTGCAGACATCAGGTGCCTTATGTTTAATCTAAACCAATGACTTTCAGATGTTAGGAGTATACACCTTCTGTCTATCCTTGATTTACTGAAACTTACAATTTGAATGCAGAACTATATTCTTGAATAAGGAATTTGCAGACCTGGATCCTTATTACACTTTTAGTGTAAAAATCTCAGCTTTGCTTCGGGCAAGTCACTCTGTCTTTGAATTTCAAGTTTCTCATTTAGGAAACTTAAGGGTTGAGGTTTCTCCGGGCTGAAAATTCTGTATTTCAATACTATATTTAAATAGGGTAATCTTAAGAGTTGGCTGATCTAGGTTATATCTTTACACCCCTGAGGATGAATTTGCTTATTTATTTTTATTTTACAACTTGTAAGTATGTCTTTTTTTTTGAGGTATAGTAACCAGAATTTCACGTCATATTTATTTTGCAGACTCATCACAAATTCCATAAAAGTAGGAAGATGCTCTCTGTATTTAAAACTTCATTTTGAAGAATCAGCCATAGAAACAATGAAAATTAAAATCTAGTGCTGCAGAAAACGTGTACCCTTTTGTTTAGTGTCTTAAAATTGAGTCAATTAATGTGTGAAAGTATTTCAGCCTATCCACAAACTGGAAATTTTTAACAAGAAAGTCTGCACAGCTATTTGCTTGGTCAATGGAGAAATTGAAGATAGGTATTTTTCATGCAATTTTACTTGTTAATTCTGAGGTACCAATGCACAAATCACAGCACATAAGACAAACCTATGTGATCATCATTTCCAACTCAATAAATATTTTTGAATGAATAAAGAGATGAACTCCATTTCCCAGTTTCTTCTGTAATCATTATAGAATACCCTAGACAGTTTGTTGAGCTATTATTCCCCTGAAAAAATTCACAGGTTTTGTAATGTATAAATGTACACACTGAAATTGATGCTGTTTCCCACTTGAAATTTATAGAACATGAGCCCTGTTCTGTAGGGACTTTGAGATATAATCCATTCTAATTTATTTATTTTATAAAGAACTTCATGCTCAAATGGATGAAGTAACTTCCCCAATGTCACCCAAGTGGTTAATGGTTATATTGTTAACTTTTCATTGCTGGGACAAAATACCCAACATACACAGATCTTTAAAGGAAGAGATGTTTATTTTGATTCATAATTTCTGAGGTTTCAATCCATGGTTGGCTGGTTCCAAGGTAAAAGTATCATGGTGGAAGGGAATGACAGAGCAAAGCTGCTTAGCTCAAGCAGCAAAGGAGCAGAGAACAGGGGAAGAGCCAGAGAGTGAGTCCTTAGACGGTGCCCCTATGATCCACTCAGACACACTCAGAAATGTGCTCTGTTAATCTCAGAAAATCAAAATGGCAATCAAGATTAACTACCCCAGCAGTTGCAAACCTGATCTTGTGCTGGGGGTTCAGATAGCCCTGAGATCAGTCCTCAGCATTGTAAAGCAAAGCACCCCAAACACTGATCTGCGAATTCCCAGTAAGCGACCTCAGGCAGTCGCTTAAATTCATTCGTCTGAGAATTTGAATTTCAGTTTGTATCTGGATATCTGGCAATAGACTTCTTCCAACAAGAGATGAAAAGTTTTAGTTATAAAGGTTGCAAGTCTTTTAAACATGACTAGAACTGAAAAAACTACCCACATGCAAGTTCTCGTGATTATTTTTATTCTAGTAACTTGCTCTCCCCAACATAAATTTCCATCTGGTGAAGGGATGACTTTCAGGGCGTAAGCAGTTCTGTAGAACGTGTCACCTCTCTTGGCTTCCTACCATGTGTAATGTGAAAATCCTATCCATCTCTATTTCCTTTTTAGAAATTGCAAATTCTTCATTCATTCTCCAGCAAATACATATTAATTCTCAACCCTAGAGATAAGATAGTGAATGCATCTATTAATAATCGTAACAAGATCCATATGACATTCTGTGTCAGTCAGGTCTAGTTTCTTTTTACATGTTAACTCTCAAACACCAGTAAGGGTTCCTGAGTACGTAGTAGTGGATGGGAGTTAGACCTGGCACTTGGTGACTCTGGCCTGAACACTTTCTTTCTAATTTTATCAACATTTTATTTATTTTTTAAAATTTTATTTCAAATAGAAGAAAACAGAAAAATCACGACAAAAACAGCGACAAAAAATGACAACCACAAAAAAATAGCAATACAGGATTTCAAACCAAGATGATAGGAGTTTAACAATGGTTGTTATATTGCATATTATCTTCAAAATAGTTGCCTAGGTTACCAGATACAGGCTTGCAAAATTGATCAAACAACATAATTTCCCTTTGCGCAGTTTCTTTCTCTTTTACTATATCTATTGTAACTTTTGGATCTTATTTACTCTTTCAGTTCCTTACACTAGTGAGACACTGTGGTGTTTATACATGCAAGTCTGATTTATTTCACTTACGAGTATGGTTTCTACTTGCATCCATTTGTCCTTAAAAGCTTCAAGTTCAGCTGAGTAGTACTCCATTGTATAAAAACACCACATATCTTTTATCCATTCTTCAGTTGATGGGCATTTGGGTTGTATCCAACATCTAGCTATTACAAATTGTGTAGCTATAAATGTGGGTGCACATATATTGCTATGGTTTGATGTTTTCATTTCTTCTGGGGAGCTACCCAGAAGGGGAATAGCTAGGTTGGATGGAACCTCTAATCCTGATTGTTTGAGGAATTCCACACTGGTTACCACAGTAGAGTCCCACCAGCGGTGGAGAAGGGTTCCTTTTTCCTCACAGCCCTGCCTGCATTTATTGGTGGTTGATTTCTTGACATTGGCCATTCTGTCTGGAGTGAGATGGAATCTCAGTGTTGTTTTAATTTGCATTTCTCAAATGACCAATGATGTGGAACATTTTTTCATATATTTATTTGCCACTTACATTTTTTCATCTGAGAATTGTGTATTCATCTCACATGCCCATTTTTGGATTGGGTCTTTGAATTTGGGAGCCTTGATTTTTTTCAATTCTTTGTATGTTCTACATAGAAGTCCTTTGTCTGAGGGACACTTGGCAAAAATCTTTTCCCAGTCCGTGTGTCCTGAACACTCTCCGTCTCATCCCGTGCATTCTGTCTCACGCATCAGCCTATACTCACCTCACCATGTTATTCTTCAACTCCCAGACTTACACTAGAATCCTTCTGGGTGAACGTCCATTCCCTCACATGGTGACTTTTTTGAATCAAAGTCAGGACCTCATGCCTGCCAGGGAGGCACCGCACCACTGAGCTAAAGCCCAGCCCACACATGGTGAATTTTTATTCATCCTTCAAGTCCAGCACAAGTCACTCATCTATAAAGTCTTGAACTCCCTGTCCCTAAATAGTCACTATCTTCCAACTGCTGCCAAATAACATTGCAAATACCTTTTAAAATAATGCATCATGTTTTTGTAGTTTATCTATTTACAATATTTATATACCTTTTGTCTTTGAATGAAAAACTGGGGACTCCTCAAATGAATGCTTCTTAACTGCTGTATAGACCTTCATGTAATGTTTGTTGAATGACTGAGTGAAATGCTTTAAAGGCTAATTTGAAGTCTTTTATTGTAATTAGCCTCTGTGTTTGAGAGATCTTGATTCAATATGTAAATTTTTTTGTGATGAGCTGTTAAAAGAGGAAAGATTTAGTAGAACTAAATTCTTTAACTATCCTGGGTCTGAATCATTAACTGGCTCTAGAAACTAGTTACAAATTCAGGGACCAATACAAAGACAAATGAAATGAGTCTGAGCTGGGAAATGAGGTTGTGTTGTAGTTTTTTTCTTAGGAGCAGAATGATTCAGCATTCTTTCTCGTTTAAGAGCAAAACGCTTGGTGACCATAAAGCAATTTCTATCATTATTACTATTGTTAACTATTTCTATTTCAGTGCTGAGGA